TGCAAAACTAGAGCAAGCTGAAATGGCCAAGGGATTCAAGAAGCGATTGTTCTTAAGTTTTCACTGATTCAGAATATTCAGATACGTGTAGACTCTACCATATTTGGCGAATAAACTAAGTTTGTTCTTCGTAAAAAATATTTCCATGTTTACCTTCCCTGTCTGTTTACGTGTACCTGTAGATTCTAGAACTGAGTTTTTATTCGCTTGGCGTTTCTTTCTTTTGGCTCCAGCTTTTAACAAGACAAATTTCGCCCTGCCCTTTAACTCAGTCGGAATTTTTTTTTAACCGTCACTTTAGATATTTCAAAGCTACTTTTATTTTTAACCGTCACTTTAGATATTTCAAATGCTATTTTTATTTTTAACCGTCACTTTAGATATTTCAAATGCTATTTTTATTTTTAACCGTCACTTTAGATATTTCAAATGCTATTTTTATTTTTAACCGTCACTTTAGATATTTCAAAGCTATTTTTTTAGACGTCACTTTAGATATTTCAAAGCTATTTTTTTAACCGTCACTTAAGATATTTCAAAGCTATTTTTATTTTATGGGTGGGTTCAAATATTTTGAAAGTATAGTTTAAAGATCTACAGCTCTTATGATTTAATCTAATACTTAGTAATAGCTCTAATAAATTCATGGGCATTTTTTCAGACATTACATTAGGTGGGGGCAGTACCCTGTTGGAAAAATATCGAAAGAAACCCAGCATTATAACCAAACAATATGGAGCTAGTATACGTCTACTATCTCAACAGATACAAAAACTGACTAGGGCTATGGAATATGTATAAATAGCAAAACAAAGCAATGATGTGTGTTGGCATCCAACTGTGTAGACACGAACAAAACAAAGCAATGATGTGTGAATTGTGTGTTGGCACCGAACTGTGTAGACACGAACAAAACAAAGCAATGATGTGTGTTGGCACCCAACTGTGTAGACACGAACAAAACAAAGCAATGATGTGTTGGCACCCAACTGTGTAGACACGAACAAAACAAAGCAATGATGTGTGTTGGCACCCAACTGTGTAGACACGAACAAAACAAAGCAATGTTGTGTGTTGGCACACAACTGTGTAGAGACACGAACAAAACAAAGCAATGATGTGTGTTGGCATCCAACTGTGTGTAGACACGAACAAAACAAAGCAATGATGTGTGAATTGTGTGTTGGCACCCAACTGTGTAGACACGAACAAAACAAAGCAATGATGTGTGTTGGCATCCAACTGTGTAGAGACACGAACAAAACAAAGCAATGATGTGTGTTGGCACCCAACTGTGTAGAGACACGAACAAAACAAAGCAATGATGTGTGTTGGCACCCAACTGTGTAGACACGAACAAAACAAAGCAATGATGTGTGTTGGCACCCAACTGTGTAGAGACACGAACAAAACAATTTCATTGGTGTGGTGAGGTGGCAGGTAACGACATGACGCAGGTGTAGGCCACTTTTTTAGTCGGAACTTTGTAGCTACACGATTAGTAGAGTCTTAAATATTCAGATGTATAAATGGTGTTTGTTTCAAAGTACTAGTAAATTTGTTATGTAAGTTTCGAGATAAAACTCTACAAATATTGCAAGTTCTAAGATACACGTGTACAAATGTTGCAAGCTCTAAGATACACAAGCTCTAAGATACACGTGTACAAACGTAGCAAGTCCTAAGATACAAGTGAACAAATGTAGCAAGTTCTAAGATACACTTGTACAAATGTTGCAAGCTCTAAGATACACGTGTACAAACGTAGCAAGTTCTAAGATACAAGTGAACAAATGTAGCAAGTTCTAAGATACTAGTTCTAAATTACAATGACATCTTTCATGTAACAGTTTACCACAGCTATTGACAAAAGCCACCGTCCTGTCATGTAAACGACCACATTATAGGTTACATTATAGGCAGCAATATATACAAACCACATCATAATGTACACAAGCTACTTTTTATTTATGTACAGAAATACGGTAAATCGAGAAAAACAAAACTTGGCACAGATAAAGCAATAAGTATAATTGCCATGAAGAAGCGCATGTTGCAATAATTACATTCACAAATAGTTCAAGATGCTTGGATTAGCCTTTTCATAATGCTGCTAACAGGTCGACACGTAGGTGTCAAATTTTTTGCAAATAGAATTGTCTTAACAGCAAAGTTGAAATCATACAATCAATTTTAGAAGCATTTGTGTATAGTGTAGGTCTGTAGATCATACAATCAATTTTAGATGCATTTGTGTATAGTGTAGGTCTGTATATCATACAATCAATTTTAGAAGCATTTGTGTATAGTGTAGGTCTGTAGATCATACAATCAATTTTAGAAGCATTTGTGTATAGTGTAGGTCTGTAGATCATACAATCAATTTTAGAAGCATTTAAATAGAGTGTAAAACTATAGGTCATACAATCAATTTTAGAAGCATTTGTGTAGAGAAGGCCTATAGGTCACACAATCAATTTCAAAGGCCCATAGAGCCGAAGGTCAGTCGTAGACGCTTGTTGGAGAAGAAAAAAAATATTTTTGAAAAAAAATCCTACAAGGTAGAATGTTCGGAACGCCGTTTTGTAATTTTCATCGAGTAAGCCACGTTCTACTAAATGAGACTGTGAGCTAAAAGTGTGTGAACTTTCATACGTTTCATTGCTGGACTAAATGAGCAGAGCGAGAATTTTTTGTTTAAATCAAAGCAACTACAAAAGAAATGCTTTCGCATGGTATTTATAATCTCAAGTAAACTTGTTAAATAAAATACAAATAACGGATGTATCGGAAAGAAGCTAAAAATGAATATGTACCAGAATCAGTGTTTCTTCCAGTCTTTTTCTCCCGGGGGGGGGGGGGGGGGGGCACTTGAAGTTTTCGGGAGGGGGGGGGACGACACTGTTAAAAGTTTATGTTTTCCATATAAATTCCATTTCGTTGGGGGGGGGGGGGGGCGGGGGGACGGTAGACTTTCTTCGAAGAGATGCCTGGAAGAAACTCTGACCAGAATTAGCCTACATGGCACAAATTGTGTGTCAACATATTTTAAACTGCCGCTGATAAGCTTCAGTTTCAAACTGAAAGAAGAGGCAAGATTTTCATTCCGTAGCGATGTAGCCTACACCATATTGCTACTTAGTCTTCATATTAGCAATGGCGTAAAACTGGTTCTAACGTATCCATAAGACGATATTAACTTCTCGTCCAAGTTCAGACAATTCTCACATTAGTGTACCACACGGTTAGAGTAGCAATTAATTTTATTTTATTCCACTGCTTGCTGAATGACATACAATAGCTGTATAAAGCAACAGGGAAAGTGGTTTCGTAAATGTAGACAGAGGTTTCCGTACGTTTTGACACTACTGTTCAAATAATGAGATTGTACAGCTGAACGACCGTTTAAAAAGAATCAGTAGTTCACGATGGTCTATAATATAACAAACAATACAGACTGGATAGTTTTTCCTTATAAATAAAGGAGCAGACACGTTGCAAAAAATACGTTTTGAAAATATCTTCAGTGTTGTTTAAATAAACAGTAAATAAAATAAAAACTTTAACCTAAACCTAAAGAGGAATAAGGTAAAAGACTTTATGATCAATCTGTGGTAGTATTGTATGGGATCCCCCCCCCCCCCCCCCCATTTTTTTACAGGTAAGTTGGAAATGCTAAATTAAAAAAAAATTACAATGTATTCAATATACGACAGCAGGACAGTACCCACGTGTACGTTACCCACCCCCGCCCAAAACTAGAGTGTGAAATTAACCCCCTCTCGTTGAAAATGGACCATAAACCTGTTTCTTACATTAAACTTAATCCAATTAGGAAATATCGGTTTTAGATCTCAGATTATATCTAGGGTTAGAGTTAAGGTAAGGGTTAGTTTCATGTTAGGGTTATGACTGGGATTAGAATTAAGAAATATTCCTCAGCGAATTAGCTCATTCTACGCTTCGCCGTTTCCTCTGCTTGGCCTACTCTATAGAAACGTCTAGGTGCGGGAATGGAAGGTAGATAACACATGTTAATATGAGCGTCGATTCCCAACTAAATTACTTGCCTTTAATTCACATTAGGATTTGTAGAGAAACTACAATTTTCATTTTGTAATATCTATTCGAATAAAAAAAAAACAGCAACCTTTTGTAATGTAAGAAGTCGACGGTCGTTAGATAAAGTTAAGACTTTTAGCTGATCTTAAGGCCTAATTCATCATCTACCCCGCCCCCCCCTTTCCCAAGAACAAATCGATTTAGCTATCCAAATTCAGTACTCAGAGGCGTAGCGACCCTTCCCGGCGCCCGGGACAAACTTTTCGACTTGCACCCCCCCCCTCAAGATTTCGATTTGCACCCCCCTCAAAGTTTCGATTTGCACCCCCCCCCCCCCTCAAAGTTTCGATTTGCACCCCCCTCGAGATTTCCATTTGCACCCCCCCCTCAAACTTTCGATTTGCACCCCCCTCAACCTTTCAATTTATTTTTCCAACCCATTTTGGCGCCCCCTAAGGTCTGCGCCCGGGGACATATGTCCCCCCCCCCGCCCCGCCCCCCCCCCCCCCCCCTCGCTACGCTACTGTCAGTACTAGTTCTAGTATTATAGACATATTATAAATGCATTTAGATTCTAATTGCTATTAGTTTATAGACGAATGAGCCCATTCAATTTTACAAGCTCAATAATATTTATCACACAAAGATAAAAAAAACAATATATTATTAATATTAAAATTAATATTAACAATTGGCCTACACAAAACTGCTTACACTTGATTTTAGATTATTTACTACATCTAATTTTAAATCTGCACGGCGAGATTGTAAAGAAAACCAACAACGAATAGTATTTAGAGATCTAGTATTTAAGTATATCTAGAAAACTAAATAGAGTCGACCTATTAAATACAATGAAACAGAAATTGTATTATAAAAATCCAGCTTATTTGATGGTTATTTACTGTGCATTTAGAATCTTTAGACGACTAAGTTTGCGACATTTAGAACTACCGCTTTTAAATTTAAAAATTGGCAGATCCCTGTTTCGAAAAAATATGGTTTGTAAAAAAATCTAGAGATTAAATTAATGTTTTAAATTAATTTTAGGGCCCTACGTTTAATTGACAGAAAATTATCAACAAATAGGCTAGTAAATCTAAATAGAGTCTAGGTAAAATCTTAGTTTAGCGTCGTAAATTCCAACGTAGCTAGATCTAGAATGACTCAATGAGTAAATTAAATACAAGCAGCAGCCATGTTTCATAAACAATAGTAGTTTCCCTTGAGAAATTGTCTATTTGCATGTCTTTTGTGTTGATTTTGTGGTTTAATATTGTTGTTTTGTATTATTTTAATATTTGCCTGTAGGCCTACTGTATAGTAATTTTTCTTTTTTTTTTCAATATAGTTGAAATGAATGACTAATAGACCTTTTCAGACTTAGTAGTGTGCATCCAAGACCACAACAATTGTTGGAAGGTCGAACTTTTGAACACTTTTTTTTGCAGTAATCAAATCAATATTAGATCGCTCATAAAAGACGTCGCTCTTAAGATAGTAATGACAAGCATGCATTATTACAAAACAAACATATGAACATATTGTTTCAGATAGAAATTGTGATTTGTGGTGGGGAGAGGTTCAGTAGAACTCAGCGATGTGATTTGGAGACGGGTCAGGTGTTTCGTAAAAACATCGGATGGTTGTGGGAGAAAGACCAGCTGTAGAAGTATGACGCTTTATTCATTGGTGATCCATTTTCTCAGTGGGGACGATAGAACTATTAAGAAGGGTCAAGAAATGTAAAAAGCATGCTGAGTTGAATTTCTTGAACCCCACCTTTTCATTCCCCCACTTAGCACATCGTCACCGAGTTAACGCTCGCGAGTGACGTCATGTACCGGTACCGCCGACCGTTAGGCTAATTTTATAGGAAAAAAAACAAGAACTACCGTTTTGACACTTATGCGACGTTTAATTTGATAACATATGTTGGTGTTCAATTAAACAGCCCCTAACACATCTATGGGACGGAGTGGTCTAGCAGTAGAGAGCTGGACTGCTAACCCGTAAGTCTCAAGTTCGAATCCGGGTTCAAATCAGTAGACAGTCTTTGAGCCCACCCAACTCTGATGGGTACCTAACTCACGTTAGGGAAAGTAAAGGTGGCTGGGCATAGTGCTGACCAATCTTTCTCTTCATATGCCAAGGTCACCGAAACAAGTGAACTCTACTTCACTTGCCCTATAGACCGTCATGTTTGAAAGGGAACTGTACTTACACATCTATCTCTCGTCCATTTAAACATATGTGGTTATCTCTGCAAGCTTGCTTGTCTTGATTTTCGGCCCTTTAAAAATGTATTAAGCTCTCACCGTATAGAACTAGACTACCCATATTAAGCTCCAAAAGAGGCTTAGTGAAAACAGGATGGCCGTCCGATTTTGAAGCTGCTCTGCGCTTTATAAAACAATAAACGATAAGATGACACTTATATTAAAGTAAATTATAGTTCTGAATCTTGATACATTAAAAGTGATATTCGGAAATTAAGAGCCAGACAGTCAACATGATATTTCAATTTAAGTCAAAGAAAATAAATTTCCTCAAACGATGGAACATTACTAAATTTTCGCGAAACTTAATTAAAGTAATTACGTCATCTTACAAAGCGCGATAGCCTACTGGTGCTCTAACGCGGCCCATGCTAATGGCTGTATTCCTAACGCCCAGCATTAGACGCTGCTTAATCGTCGGCAGGCATTTGGTGGCAAGCCTTATTGACAGGGATAATGTGTTGAGGCCGTTTTGCCAAATGTCTTCAACTAACAGGCTTGCAACATTTATGATGATTCGTTTTGAGCAAGGTATACGTATACTAATGCATATTTGTCGTTATTTTGATTGAACAAAGCATTATAGAGGTTCTCTATCAAACACGTAGGTATTTTCCCCCTTTCACCTCCTTTCATGAGACCGACACGTCATAAATTGCGGAGCGCCTGAGTTGACGTCACAAATCTTCACTCACTCCCGTAGCAAATCATATGAGACATCATTTATATCACTCATTTGGGCATTTGATATTGACATTTTGACAACAAAGGAACAGCAAAGGATAACCAAAATGTGTCTGACAGGTGGAGACTTGCGATCGACCATAATGAAATTTTTAGATGATGTTTTTCGAGGGAAGCTGGTGGATAATACATTTTGTCTCTCAGTATATATAAATGATGACAAACATTTATTGTCAAAAATTATGGTTAGCAGTAGCGTAGCCAGGATCGTCTCATGGTTGGGGGGGGGGGGTTCAAATTTATTCCAGCATTATATATATAGCAACCCCCCTCAAACTTTCGATTTGCACCCCCTCAAACTATATATATATATATATATATATATATATATATATATACTGAGGGGTCTAATATATATATACTGAGGGGTCTATGGGGGGTTAACCCCCCCCCCCCCCCCCTGCCTACGCCACTGATGGTAAGAGATCTTAGATAAGGCAGAGTGTAGTTTTTTACATTATGACTTGTTGTGACATTGACAACAAAAATATGACGAAGGTTGTGGTTTAATTAAGGTAAAGAGAAGTAAAAAAAATGTCATAAGCTACGATAGAATCACTAATTGATGAAAAGAAAAAACTGAAATGAAAATAGTGAACATCAAACAATAAGAAAAAAACTCAAACTATAAAGTAATAGTAAGATCAAATAAACATTAGTACAAAAAAACCTGATTTTATATATGGATACAAGTTGCATCTCACAATACTTCTAGAATTAATGAAGTTGTTTGTTAGGAAATTAGTTTTTAAAGGGCAGAATTAAAAAAAAAATGCTTTGTAGGACGGACTATACAACAAGACAATCATATTTAAATACATTTTCATACGAATAGAAATGAAAGGGAAGCTACTCTAAATAACATTTTCTTAAAATGGCTGCTGTTTTTAATAGCAAATTTACTATCTCGAACAGGGGATCCGGAGAAAAGGCAGACACGGACAAAAGGCCGACAAGACAAAAGGCTGACAAGACAAAAGGCCGACAAGACAAAAGGCCGACAAGTTTTATAAAACAACAAACTACAATTACAGACATGTTTAATATCTAAAATATGTAATTATATACGACTGTTTAAGTTTCTCATAAATATTCTTAGGTACATACAATAGGATAAAATAATACACACGATGTAACCAATTATTTGTTGACGATATATTGGTCCTTATATAGGGAAATCACAGGGGCAAGTTTACACACACACAAAAAAAAAACTTACCAATTTTGGCACACTTGTATCAAAATCACAACAGAATTAATGAATCCAACGAATATAGTATACACTTTTTTCACGCAATTCGCAATGGATGAAACTAAAATATAATTCAAAGTTTGTCGGTATTTAACATGTAGTCCAGTCAAGGCACGTGATCGGTCTACTTCATTCGGTTTCTTTGATTTCTTTGCGTAATATGGTGGTAACGCCACCTATCTCCAGTCGCGTGGACCCAATTGTCCACCTTATAAGGATCGCAACTAACATTGTCTCTTCCACCTTGTTGCATGTGGGCGATAATGCCGGCAGCTTTTGACTTTGTTCTTTTGATGATTATCTCACCCCTTTGACATAAAAGGAGCTATGAATTTAGTTTGAAATGATTTTAAACTTAGGGGAGGTAGCTAAGAGGAGGCTGCTTTCACCGGGGGGGGGGTATCGTCCTTAACGACTTACTGATAGTGTTTTAAAGCAAATATTTTCTGTGACAACAGTGGTACTGTCGAATTCACAAATTGTGAATTACTGAAAAGAAGAAAATAAAACAACTTAAATAGCGGCGTATGATACGCCGCGGGTCGGCTCGTATATTATATTTGTGAATGATATTCATTCTCAGAATGTAATAAGACTTTGAAATATATCTTGTTTATCATATGTAAATCTAAATGCAATTAATGTATCGGTTACTCATGTTTATATCTTTTATAGAAGGATATATACTTAAAATTATCATAGAATGCTCAAAATGTAAAAATACTTTTCAAGAATGTTTTCTTTAATTTATGTAATTCAAAAATTATGTGTCAGTAGATTATGTTTAGATCTTATTAATTGGTAAAGCTCTTGAGAGATGTAAAAGATATATATATATATATATATATATATATATATATATATATATATATATATATATATATATATATATATATATATATATATATATATATATTGATACGAGTAGGGTAAACAAAATGTGAACTTCAATCTACTGAACAGTAGACTATAATTTTCATTTTAACAATGAAAAACCATATTAAAAATAATCTCGGGAAGTTTCATGGGGTGGTATTGATGACTTTTTAAAAATGTATATCAATATATCAGGTGGTCACTCGTGAGAGGTTGACCATAATTTTTCCTTATGGCCGCATGAATTATTAATGTCAATGAAAAAGATAGTAACAACACCCCCTCTCCCAGTTAACCATAAAAGTACCAAATTCTTTTAAAATCAGATTTATTTAATTTTAGCTCTGGTCAGTTTGACCCCATTTTTCTACCAGGGCTGTGCCAAATGTCAAGTGTTTGTGGCACCAGAAAGTGCCTCAAAAAACAATGTTGGAAATTTCCATATTCATATATTGTGCTGTCTTTCAGTATTTAGATTCGAAGCATTTGGCCTGTTTGTTTTAATCTTCAATAAAGCACTTTCCGACTGTAGTGTAATAAACATTTTATTATATATAGCAACTTATTTAGTATGTGTTTTTGCTATTTCTTATAATTTTAAAATTGAATGTAATTTGTTTTTATTTTTTCAACTAGATTTACAATATGGCATTGTAAAAACCAAATTGTTGAATATTTTAGGAATATTTAGAATAAAAATGATCTGATCATTTGATTGGTTTTCTACTTCCTTCAACCCAACTTACAATTTCTGAATGCTTAGTTGCTATCTCACAATAAAGGGATACAACTCATAAAATTAACATAATTATTAATCATGTGTGTTAGATGTATGTGATTACTCAACTTTTATTGTTAAAATTCATTAGTGTGGCTAATCTGGTTTCTTCACAGGTACATTTGTAATTTTAAATCATCTAGTATTAAAAGTTCCTTTTTTTTTAGATTTAAATTACTATAAAAATTAGATACAGGAGGATAAAAAAAGTAGATCAGCCACAGACTTCTCTAACTCTTCATTACAGTATTATTATTGATGTACAGATAGTAATTTACCTTCATTAAAACTGTTTTATTGTAAACTAAAATGAACTACCAAGTGACTTGTGGGATTATGTAGAAACAAAAATTTGGCTCCCTGTCAAAAAAACCCTGGACCTAAACCCCCTGGATAATAACCCCCAATTGCAGTTTATAGAAGGAAATAATAACGATGATGAGAACAAAAAAAAAACGAAATTAAATTAAATTAATGTAATTTTTTTAACGACTAACAAAAGAGTTCTACATAAAAGCATAAATATAACATCAAATTTATTTCTCCACAAGTCTTATAATTTCTGGAATGGAGTTCGTTCAATCTAATAAAGGCAATTTAAAGGTGATTTTTGAAGGCTATGTTTATGTCAAGCGAAAAGATTTGGCGAACGGCGTTGTGCCATTTGAGTGTGCCAAAAGACAGAACAAGGCAGAATGCAAAGCTAAGATAAAGATTCATGGTGAACAGTTTGTTGGACGTTGTAATGAACATTCGCATGGACCAGATCCACCTCAACTTGAAGTGTGTAAAGTAGTGCAGCAGATGAAACAACTGGTAGAAGAAATGGAAGCCAGCAGATCATCACTCAGACGATTACTACGATTACTGAAGATGCCACAGCCAAGCTGCCCTAGGTTCCACACAAACGTCGTATTATCAGGCGTCAACCTGCAGAAAACCATATGCCAAAAATAAACAACTCAGTTGAAGGCTGGCACAGAAGTTTCCAGTCGAATACGGGATGTTGCCACCCAAATATTTGGAAATTCATTGACTTTATTAAAAAGGAACAATTGCTCCAAGAGGTTTATTGTACACAGATAAATTCAGGACACTGTTTACCAAAACAGAAAAAAATATATATTGATAGTAGCGCTCGAATTTAACTGTTATTAAAAATTTTAATGAGCCCACCATTATACAGTATTTGCGAGGCATCGCTCACAATCTCTCTTTTGAAAGTTAAAGTGAAACGCTGTTTTTTCTAAAGTTTATTTTGTTTTTAATTATTAATTTTGGTTCTCATCATCTTTGGTTTATCCTTATATAAACCTAAATTGGTTTTTTTTGTCCAGGGGGTTTATATTGCGGGGGGTTTTTGTCTAGTGGGTTTATGACCAAACACCCAAAAATTTGCCCACATGAATTAATTAGAATGTTCTATGTATGATTTGCAGTTTCTGAAGAGGTGACAACCTTACACTACAATCTTTGTTGACAATTTACGCCAAGTGTAATAGTTTTTTATATAAAATGGTTAGTAATTTTAATTTAATATAAAATGGTTAGTAATTTTAATTTAATATAAAATGGTTGGTAATTTTAATTTAATATAAAATGGTTAGTAATTTTAATTTAATATAAAATGATTTTTTGTCTCGGCTTTTTTATGTTGAACAATTTTAATTGGATTTAAAATTTTATTTTCTCAGATAGCTGTAAGTTTTTTCTATTTACAATAAATATTCTAATGTATACAAATATATACATATATATATATCTTGGAAGTAGGAAAAGCTGATATCCCTGTGAAGTGCAGCATAGAGATTAAGATTAAGTTATAAGATGATAACTTGGTTTGTTTTAGGTTCTTAAGTGACTTTAGTTTCACCCATTCACTAATTGGATCTGTACATTTCTTAAATACATTATTTTCACATAGATGAAAGCTATTGAAACCACATGAGATTTGCTTTTATTTGTTCATTTTAATTTCTTGCAGGATATAAAAGTTTTAAGTTCCCAGGCCACTATAGCAATTGAAGAGTTTGCTAAATTATATTTTGAAACTTTTGATAAAAGAAGACAGGTGAGTTCCACTTTTCACTTGTTGGATAAAGAGTTCATGTCCCTAACCAGTTCACAGGTACACCATCTTAAAAATAACATTTTAACTTTTTTTTTTTTAAACCAGGCAATCGTCAGAATCTATCAAGATAAAGCTAACTTAGTTTGGAATGGACACGCTGTTACGGGTGCAGATGAAATAATGAAATTTTTTGACACATTGCCTTCATCAGAGTTTCACATAGAAGGGATGGATACCCAAGCCATTCTTCCAGGTAAAGTTTTGTTTTTGAAGGAATCGCCATTCTTCTTGGTCAGATTTTGTTTAGAAGGAATAGATAATCAGGTAAAGCTTCATTTTGGAGGAATAGATACCCAAGCCATTCTTCCAGGTAAAGCTTCATGTTGAAGGAATAGATACTTGAGCTATTCTTCCTGGTAGTTCAGATGTTGAATGTGTTATTTTTTATGGTTTTATCATAAAAGTCTATTTTAAACTAATAAATATTGTTAAATATCCTTTTCTTAATTAAATGAATTCATGCTATTTGGAGAAATTCTTTCATATTGAGTTATTTCCCTTGCATATGTGCTTTGCATATTGTTTTAAAAAACTTTTGGCTAATTAAATTATTTATTTTTCAGATGTTGTAGCTGATGGTAGCAATTCAATAATTGTCAACTTTTTTGGAAAAGTAAAGTTTAAAGGTTCAGAAGCCAAAGCTTTTTTTCATACTTTTATTTTATCTGCACATGAAAATAAATGGAAAATTGTTACTGAAAATTTTAGGTTTCTGGAATAAAAATGTGATATGAATCACACTTTCATCAGTGTTTCTGTAATTAGCTAGTCTGTATTTTAAATCAATGAAATTATTTTGGTTACATATGTAACTGGTAATTTAAATCAGGCTTCAGTTTTGTCTGCGTAATGTTAATACAAAGGGAGCTAACCGGGTCAGCTGTATCAGGAAGACAACATCTGTCAGTAACAATACACTGTTGTTAGGAGCCATACATTGTTGTCAGTAACAATACATTGATGTCAGTTGCCATACATTGCTGAGTGTCAGGAGCCATACATTGCTAACATTGTGTCATGTGAAAACTAGACTTTTTTTTTAAGACCAAAAACTAAGCTAATGATGACATCAACATGGCTGAACATCTTTGTACAAATGCTAACAAAACATGGACTAATAATCAACCATTTGGAACACTTCATGTGGCAGGTGAAGTAGAGTCCATATGTTTCTTTAAACTTAAGCTATCAAGTATACCTGTCATTGACACATCAGATCTGGGTAGCCTCTAGAATAAGTTAGCTCAGGCATGGACCTGAACTCCACAACTTCGGAGTGGCAGTTGTATGTGATAGCACTTGACCACCTCCTAAAACGTGTGCCCTGTATGAGAACCAGAAGGTTGGTGCCCTGTATGAGAATCACCAGAGGTTGGTGCCCTGTATGAGAATCACCAGATGGTTGGTGTCCAGTATGAGAATCATCAGAAGGTTGGTGCCCAGTATGAGAATCATCATGTTTGGTGCCCAGTATGAGAATCATCAGAAGGTTGGTGCCCAGTATGAGAATCATGTTTGGTGCCCAGTATGAGAATCATCAGAAGGTTGGTGCCCAGTATGATAATCATCAGAAGGTTGGTTCCCAGTATGAGAATCATTAGAAGGTTGGTGCCCAGTATGAGAATCAGAAGGTTGGTGCCCAGTATGAGAATCATCATGTTTGGTGCCCAGTATGAGAATCATCAGAAGGTTGGTGCCCAGTATGAGAATCATCATGTTTGGTGCCCAGTATGAGAATCATCAGAAGGTTGGTTCCCAGTATGAGAATCATTAGAAGGTTGGTGCCCAGTATGAGAATCAGAAGGTTGGTGCCCAGTATGATAATCAGAAGGTTGGTGCCCAGTATGAGAATCATCAGATGAAAAGGTTTATGCCATGTATGATAATAGTCTTTGTATGTATTGATTATTGGTAGTAGAAATCGATTTTCAAAACGTAAAGTTAAATATGTAGAAAAATATAATAACTATCTTTCTACTTTCTGTAATTTCAATGAGTCACAATAGTCGTTGTTTTTAAGGTCGAGTCAATGCATCAAATAATAAGACATAGCCAGTATTTATCTTAAAATCAGTTCCCCTTAAATTATCTTAAATCCCCTTAAAATTAGTGGTCTCTGAACTTTATTTTAGTTCCCCTTGAAATCAGTTGTCTCTAAACTTTATCTTTGTTCCCTTTAAAATCAGTGGTCTCTAAACTTTATCTCTGTTCCCTTTAAAATCAGTGGTCTCTGAACTTTATTTTAGTACCCCTTAAAATCAGTGATCTCTAAACGTTATCTTAGTATTCTTAGTTCCCCTTAAAATCAGTGATCTCTAAACGTTATCTTAGTATTCTTAGTTCCCCTTAAAATCAGTCGGCCTTAAACTGTTTCTTAGCTCCCCTTAAAGTCAGGCTCTAAAATGGCTTCAGTTGAAAAAAAAAAAAAAAAAAAACGAATGGCTATCAATTTTATTTCTTTAAAAAAAAATTCTTTCTCTTTACATCTTGAAATGGATCAAAATGAAAAGACTCATTACTGCATTTTCGGTAACGGAAATGAATCTGGTCCTCAAAGGTCACGTGCGCCTGAGGTCACCTTGCATGCATTAATTTCTCACAAAGGTCCTATAAGATCGATGAGCAGGGCTTCACCCCATTATACGATGTAATGTCCCCAGCGGGCCGGGTGGGGGGGGGGGGGGGACCATCAAATCTTCACACCGAGATCACCAAACAAACGGGAATAAACTAATTGTCAAACATCCACAAACAATTATATATTTAGTGTTTAAAAAACCGAACCATAAGATGATCTCATTAGCTCTCAGACTGGCCCGTAATTTTCTGTTTTTTTTAATGCAGGTTTATTGGTTGCCTCTGATTCTTATTACCAAGATCATTAATTTTTAAGGGAGGGTTTTCTGTCTCTCGTAATCCCGCATCTATTTTATGGTCTATATCGCCTAAACGACTGCGTCAGAATTGAATGCACTTTCCTATCAAAACATCCATTCTGTTTCGAATCCCCACAAAAGCTTGCCCCATTGGTCGTCTGGCCAATCAGAAATATAGTAACGATCGGATGCACCCTGACCTCCCCCTGCCCCGGGCTCTCTGGCAGCGAGGCGGTATTGATTTTTTTAGCGATGCTAAAAAATGTTCATGCCATAGGACTGTCTCCCGTAGAGCCCTGTGCATACCAAGCCTGGATTCCTATTGCTCGCTGGCTCGTCCCAGCGCCTCAAATCGTGACTTTTGTCCTGTAGATCCAGACTAATTTCTCGGAGATCCCGGTCTCATTCATCGCTGCACGCGGCTGTTTTAATCACTGGGTAAGTCTGATCATCTCTACATCTCCCCACTGTTGTTAGAACGTCACATAACGTGACTTACAGACAGTTACTGGCCCTAGCGGTGGGACCATCCTCTGATCACCCACACTCCCTACAGCTCCTAGAGTTCCAGAACCTCATAATTAAATGTCTATTTTTTTAGTCGTCATGTTTTTATTGCAAAATTCGTTGGACTTGTACGACTGTTATTATGTTGTAGGACTATAACACCGTGTATGAGTAGGTCAGCTGTATTTAATCTACTCTAAAAAAAGATCTTTTAACCTGAAGTTGTAGCCTCCAACACACCACAGCGGTGTGCTGAAGCAACACGTTTGTGTGCTGGTCTGTGTTGTAGCACAGGCGTACAAGCCAGGAACCAAATTCCCATAATTGATGAGCGATCGATCCAGCAAATGTACACAGAAGATGGCGACACTGTGCCGCTCCAGCCACGAGCAAGTTTTTATTAAGTGTTGACCCATTAAGTCTAATTTACCATGTGACGTCAGCACGGGTTTACCGTTTTTTTTTTCCCGTGAACATTGACGGGGTGCTGAGCATATCTTCATAATGTGTGGGGGTGGGGACGGCCGAAGGGTAGTGTATTACCAGTAGAACCTACTTAATAAACAATGAAATATAAATAGCTTGCATTAACATGCGTTTAATGATGTAGCATAATAATATGCAAAAGGTTTTGTTTTGGTACCAGCTTAGTGACAACGGGGCCCAATACAAATAGGACTGGTGGAATATTGACTATGACTGTAGTATTTATATCACGGATGCTCTTGTACTGTATGTAATACATTCCGTATATGATAAGTGATGTGTGTGATAAATGATGTATGTAATGAGTAATACATGTGATACTGTATGTTAAGGTCTACATATAGGAACCCACCCCCCCCCCCCCACCAAATAACTCCTGACGTTTAGTTCGTGTATGTTGGTACTGTATGTCAATAGTGTCGAAAAGTTTAAAGTTTTAATTTAAATCTCAGCATAAATCCATGTGACACGAATGCAACAAATTATATTTCTTCTATAGGCTATGGTTGGGTTGTTCTTGTCTAATGTTGATTGCTGCATATCGTATGTTGTTTGGTGGTCTGTGATTCATGTTTATGTATGTATATATGTTGTAGTTTGTGTTTATGTATTTGTATATGTTGTAGTTTGTGTGTTTATGTATGTGTATATGTTGTAGTTTGTATGTTTATGTATTTGTATATGCTGTAGTTTGTGTGTTTATGTATGTGTATATGTTTTAGTTTGTGTGTTTATGTATATGTTGGAGCATATATCTTTTAATGACCATTTGTGTATTTTAGCGTATCTTGTGATGTCCATTTGTGTAGTGTAGCGTATCTTGTGATGTCCATTTGTGTAGTGTAGCGTATCTTGTGATGTCCATTTGTGTAGTGTAGCGTATCTTGTGATGTCCATTTGTGTAGTGTAGCGTATCTTGTGATGTCCATTTGTGTATTTTAGCGTATCTTGTGATGTCCATTTGTGTAGTGTAGCGTATCTTGTGATGTCCATTTGTGTAGTGTAGCGTATCTTGTGATGTCCATTTGTGTATTTTAGCGTATCTTGTGATGACCATTTGTGTAGTGTAGCGTATCTTGTGATGTCCATTTGTGTAGTGTAACTTATGGTGTCCATTTGTGTAGTGTAGCCTATCTTGTGATGTCCATTTGTGTAGTGTAGCGTATCTTGTGATGTCCATTTGTGTAGTGTAACTTATGGTGTCCATTTGTGTAGTGTAGCGTATCTTGTGATGTCCATTTGTGTAGTGTAACTTATGGTGTCCATTTGTGTAGTGTAGCCTATCTTGTGATGTCCATTTGTGTAGTGTAGCGTATCTTGTGATGTCCATTTGTGTATTTTAGCGTATCTTGTGATGACCATTTGTGTAGTGTAGCGTATCTTGTGATGTCCATTTGTGTATTTTAGCGTATCTTGTGATGTCCATTTGTGTAGTGTAGCCTATCTTGTGATGTCCATTTGTGTAGTGTAGCGTATCTTGAAATGACCATTTGTGTAGTGTAGCGTATCTTGTGATGACCATTTGTGTAGTGTAACTTATGGTGTCCATTTGTGTAGTGTAGCGTATCTTGTGATGACCATTTGTGTAGTGTAGCGTATCTTGCGATGACCATTTGTGTAGTGTAGCGTATTTTGTGATGACCGTTTGTGTAGCGTATCTTGTGATGACCATTTATGTAGTGTAGCGTATCTTGTGATGTCCATTTGTGTAGTGTAGCGTATCTTGTGATGACCATTTGTGTAGTGTAGCGTATCGTGTGATCACCATTTGTGTAGTGTAGCGTATCTTGTGATGTCCATTTGTGTAGTGTAGCGTATCTTGTGATGACCATTTGTGTAGTGTAGCGTATCTTGTGATGACCATTTGTGTAG